TTGGTGAAAAAGCACTAATTTTGAACCCAAATAATCTCAAGAGACTGGGTTTTCTGGGCTCAACATCTGCTTCCTTGAGAAGAAAGGTTGATGCATGTTTTGAGATGCAAATTTTTACATCATATTGCTGTTTGTAGTTTCCAGACCAGTGTAAAATAGCTGGGTTGGCATGCCTAAGAACCCTCCCTTTTCCCGAGATTTGAGCAATAGCTCAGCGCTTTAAATATTAGTGCGTAAAAGAAATACTAGGTATCCCCTACAACGATAAAAGGACACCGTATTTTCAGGTTCTCAAACTTTAAGCTCCAAATCTTGAGGAAACTTGGCATCACAGCAACGTGGTCATACCTAGTGCTTGGCAGCCTGCATACTTCGTAATGGCTTCTTCACTGCGTTTAGAAATGAAGACTGTACTCTTTTTAAAACGGTAAGGCTTGCCCTGCTCAACTACTATGAACAATTAATTATGACCCTCCTCACTGAGTCACTTTTCATTGAAAATAAAGGTGTTTGAGGCGGTTTTTAAAGTTTCTCACCCTTTCCCCTTATTACATTAGATACCTTATTACAGGTATCTGAATTATCTGGATGTTGATGTGAAAAGCTGTGGTCTCATCAAGTAAGAAATATGCAAAGTTAGACTTGTTTATAGAATGTTCTAGACTGGACTCAGCCGAGCGACCCAAGGCCGCCCGAAGCCAATGTACTTCCTGGTTTAGCTGCGCTGAGCCCGGGGCTGGGATGCAATCACATCTCCCCTGTTCTCCAGCATCATTAAGCTGAAATACCTTTGTTGCAAGCACTGGCCTTAAACAACCACCTCGTTCCCTAAGTCTGGTTAAACAAAAGCAAAAACGTACTTTCACACTTTGATTAAAAACTCAGGTTAATGTTTTACAAACCTTTAAGTTGGAGACTAATTTTAGTGTAATTAGCTGGGTTAAGCATTACATTTAAATTGCAAATAAGTAATAACCTTAATATTGGAGAACTCAGACTTTAACAAGAGACATTAGTTTTGCTCATGACACATGCGGGGGGGGGGGGGGGGGGTGGACTTGTACATCCTAGAGCATCCCCATTCGTTCCCTGCTTATGACCGTCATCTCAGTTTCATTTCATGCTAAATAAAAACTCACATTTACTTTGCAGCTTTGTTGGAGACACTACCTTAATCTGAGAAGAACTGGTGTACATCATGAGTTACATACATCCTGCTTGAGTTCACATGCCAGGGTTCCTACCTTTATTCTGCAAGGTACTTTAACGTGAAGTTGCCATGGGTTTTTGGCCTGAGGACCAAGCGGTGTTCCTCAGAATGGGACCGCTAACTGTTTGAACTTTGAAGATTACTGTGATGTTAGGATTTCTCTTACACTGGCATAATAATCTGTCATTGTTATGTGACATTATACCTACAGAAACTATTAATAAAGGATTTTGCTAGAAGTACTGCTTTCTCTTCGCTTTTATGAAGTTTAGACCAACTGTCTGAAGTCAGACTACTGGAATAAAATAAAGTTTGAAAGCTATTTAAGTAACTAAAATGTTTAGCGCTCTGGGGAAAGTTGATTTTATATAAAACTTAGAACTTCCTTCTTTTTGTAAGACACTAATTTTCATGTTACTGCTGGCACTGAGCTCAGGGTCTTGAATTCTTGAGAGCTCAGCCCTTAACAGTTGTAGGGCTGAGTTTTACTGCACCTCTTCCTGGAGCCTAGGTGCTCGCAAAGGCGTAAGGTTCACCGCATTTTGATGTGTGGTGAATCAATTTTTGGTTTCTACAATGTCTCATTCCCCTGAAATCTTAAATTTGAAAAATACTCAGGAAGAAGCCTTATCAGAAAGAGGACAATCTAAATACTAATACCTGACCTTTTTTTTTTAATATATATGTCCTGGTTTCAAGCAGGGATAGAGTTAATTTCCTTCCTAGTAGCTGGCACAGTGCTGTGTTTTGGATTTAGGATGAGAACAAAGTTGATAACGCACCAATGTTTTAGTTGTTGCTAGGTAGTGCTTACACTAGCCAAGGACTTTTCAGCTTCCCATGCTCTACCGACTGAGAAGGCTGGGGGTGCACAAGAAGCTGGGAGGGGGCACAGCCAGGACAGCTGACCCCAACTGGCCAAAGGGACATTCCATACCATGGGACGTCATGCTCAGTACATAAACTGGGGGGAGCTGGCCGGGGGGGCCGCTGCTCGGGGACTGGCTGGGCATCGGTCGGCGGGTGGTGAGCAATTGCATCGTGCATCACTTGCTTTGTGTATTATTATTATTATTATTTTCTTTCAATTATTAAACTGTTCTTATCTCAACCCATGAGTTTTCTCGCTTCTACTCTTCCAATTCTCTGGCATCCCGTCGGGGGGCGAGGGAAGTGAGCGAGCGGCTGTGTGGTGCTCAGTTGCCGACTGAGGTTAAACCATGACAAAATAATAATGTTCTTCAAATTTTATTTAATTTTGTGCAGTTAGTAGTAGCTAGCTATACTAACTAACTGTAAAAATTATTTTCACAGTGCAGATGGAGACTGTTACATGTCATCTAATTACAGAGCGCTCACTCAAGTGGTTCTCAAAACAGTTCAAGTTTCAGAACCAAATTTGCTCTTCTATTTCAGATTAAGGATATAGAAAAATAGCAGCAGACTGTCTAGTGATTCAAACAGCATTTTACAGCCTTTGCAAACAAGAGAAAGGTAATGCTCCTATGCCTTTGCTGCTCTGTATCAGCAAATGGAAGGGTGAGAATTACAGCACATCACTCTGAACACAGAAAATATGCTACTCCAAGATGAAAGAGTAGGTTCAGGGGGAATTGCATCCGTGTGTATCAATACCTGATGGGGACACTGAGGAAGAGAGAGCCAGACTCTTCAGTGTTACCAGTGACGGGACAAGAGGCAATGGGCACAACTTGACATACAAGACAGTCTGTTCAAACATAAAAACATTTTTACTATGAGGGTGGTTAAACACTGGAACATGTTGCCTAGGGAGGCTGTGGAGTCGCCATCCTTGGTGATACTCAAAGCCAAATGGACAATGGCCTGAGCAGCCTGCTTCAGTCAACCCTGCTCCGAGCGGTGGGATTGGATTAGAGCATCTCCAGAGGCCCTTTCCAACCTCAACCGTTCTGTCACCTGAGACTGTCCATAAAATGCACTACTTCATTGAGAAAAGACAGTCACAAAGTTTAGATTCATAATTCTAGCCAGATTAGGAACTGATCTTGATGTAAGCTTAATAAAGATGCACATGGGTACACCTGGGTATCTCTTGTCACTATCACTACAGTACCTCGTAGTGATACTGTTCCTCAGTAACAAAGGACTGATGCATGTATGCAAAAACTAGTTTTTTTTTTTCACCAGCTAAAAATTAAAGGGCCTGTCCAGCTAAATAGAAGCTTCAGTACGTTTTATGCCCATATAGTTACATGGTTTGGGGTTCCTACGGGATCGTCACAGGCAGATTTAATGACACATCTACAAGTTTGAGTAGAGCTTCCTGCAGAGCTTTTTCACAGAGCTTTCAGTATCTGCAATCCTTTCTGCCAATAGCATACATTCCATAGGTCTTTACAGACAAACTGGCGTTCCGGCTTACCTTGCCTGTCCCATACCGGTGATGGTGATGTGTGCTTTTTTCTCTTAAAGTCTCTCCAAATACAACAAAACGTGGCCCTGTGTTCCCGGTGAAGGCATGCCCACTCCAACGAGCGCAGACATTGCAAAAAATGTTACTTTAATCATACTGCTGTCTAATAATAGACTCCTTGTACACAATTGCTCTCTAGTAATTTCTGCTGTCACTTTTAAGTCCAGTTCCTTCTGATCTTTTTTCACAAGTGGAAATTTTTTATATGGAAAATATATACTCATTTGGCAAGAGTTTTGAAA